TTGCCAGCTGTCAGCCTAACTCTGAGCTCTGTGAGAGAATCTGTCCCAAAGAAACTGAGAGTGAGTGACCCAGCAGGAGACTTGACAGTCTCCTCTGGCCCCACCATGCATGCAGGAGAGTGCACACCTGTATATGCATGTGTCTATACCTCCTTCCCACACACTCACATATAAACTCACACACAAAAATAAAGCTTATGAGAATTAATTGAGATATTATTCTTAATACCCTTGGAACAGTGCCATGCACAGTAATTGCTTAGCTTATTATGCACTATTATTAATCATTCATTAGTGATCTAAACAGATGAGATGGAATTTAGAGACAAATAAGAACAATATAACCTGTAAGTAATTTTAATTCTCTGGTGGAAGAATACTTTGAAATTCTGACCCCAAAAGCCATTACCGATTCTAGTGAGCAGTACACTTGGACCCTGAAAAAAAAATCATTTAAACATTATCACAAAATGCATTTGCAAATTACTCTTGCCAGAGGCAAGGTTCTTGGATACAGTATTTTACGATCCACTCACCCTCCCCCCCAACTAGACATTACTCTTTAAAGACATAACTGCCAAGGGCTACTGTGAAAAGTCACTAATATAATGCCTTTTATTATATTTGACAATTTCACACTTTCCCCAACCCAATCTCCAAAGTTTGTGCAAAGAGACTCTACCCACAGTGCTAGTTCCTGGCTTCCTAGAATCTTGTCAGTCTTGTCCTAGTTAGCTTCAGCTGTCAACTTGACACTTCCCAGAGCCATGGGAGGGAGTCTCCGCTCGGGGATTGTCCAGATCAGAATGGTCTATTGCCAAGTCTGTGGGGAAGTTGCTTGATGTGGGAGGGCCAACCCTCTGTGGGTGGTGCCATCCCTGGGCAGGTGATCCTGAGTTGTGTAACAAAGCTACAAAAGGGAGAGTGTGCCAGAGACCAAGCGGGTAAGCAGCATTCCTCCATGGTCTTCGTGCCAGCTTCCTGCCCTGACTTCCCTCAGTGATAGAATGTGACCCGAAAGTGTAAGCCACATAAACCCTTTGCTCCTCAAGTTGTTTCTATTTAGAGCTGTTTTTTTTTAAATCACAGCAGCAAAAGAAAACTACAATATCCTTAAAAAGACGGACGCTGAAAGTAAGTCCAGAGAGTGAATGAGGGGGAACTAGGCTTTATTTTGTGGGATTTGCTTGATATATTCAGTGTGGGTTCCAGCCATGGCAGGTAAAAACAGCCTAGAGGTTAACATAGACTGCTCCAGGGGCAGCAACAGTCAGTTTAGGAAAGTAGTATTTGAAGGTAGCACTCTGTTCCTAATATGTTTAGATATCACACATCACTGTTCTCAAGGGGAAAAAAAAGCACACGAACTATTCAGAAAGGACGCTTTGTGTTTGAGAAGGCCTTGGGAGACTTAAAAGGGAACTTTTGAACATTTAATTGAACTTCTTTGATTCACAAGATGAGAAAATTAGTCATTTAAAAGTCTTGCCTAAGGTTAAATGGCTGTTCCCCTGGACAGACATAAAGCCTGCCTTATTCACACTCCACTTCATCTCTCCTTCTGTCGTCTTGTCTCCCACTATCTGTATCTACCACTCTGATTTTTATTAAGTCTCAGTCCCTGGTTCCCGAAACGGGGAAGTTGAAGTGTGACTTCAAAACAAAGTAATGAGAAATCAACCCCCAACTCTGGAAGTGTTAAGAACAAAGAGATGACTCAGTTGCCAGAAAGTAAGATCCCAGCACTTCTGTTTGGGGTGCCACTGTATTCCTCAAACCTACAGTTGTGATTCCCTAATCTCTGTTGATTGGAAGAAAAAGAAAATCCATCCATCCATCCATCCATCTATTTTAGAAACGTTAGTTTTTCTCTTCCACCGCCTCTGACCTTCAGTTCAGTTATATGCAGACTGGGATTCTGAACAGTAGAAATCGTGTACAAAGCATTGTAACACGGTGAGCCTGGCTCATTGTGAGCAATTAATGTCAGTTTGTTTTCTTTTCCTTCATGCCAAGTGTGGGCTGCTAGGGGTGAGGGGTGACTGCCACGGTGTTTATGTGCTTGGACAGAATGCAAAGCGACTGAGAGGTTGCTGAGAGAAGGCTGTCGGTGAGTATAGATCAATTCCAGTGCCCTGAAAAAACGCACAGCGATTTTATTCAGAGAGGCTGGTCGCTTTGGTTGATCGATTCTGGGCTGTAGTCAGCTTTTTAATACAACTTCTTATAAGCATCAGTTACATTGCGCTGGAAAACGTGGGGAAGCCACCTCCGCTCCACCCTCCTGCAGCTAAACAGTAAATGAAGCCCGCAGCGATAGGGATGGCGGTTTGTAGTCCAAAGGGTCCTCAGGTTGGGGCTTCCCCGGGCTAATCAGTCCCCTACTCCAGGTTCAAGTACGATCTCTGGCAGCTCCAAAGCGGCTAGCAGGTCCCCATAGGGTCCCCTGCAAGGAGATGAAAGGTGCAGGCCTGGGGACACTCGGGTTCAGGGGCACTCAGGCATGCAGTGTTCTATCACGCAGGCGGGGAAAAGTTTCCAACTCTTGCCTGTTGGCTGTCCCGCTGCGCCTGGACGCAGTCCTAGGCCGCCCTTCTTGCACCCTTGCCCTTCGTCCCTACGGTGCACCCTGTTCGGGGGCCAAGCTTTGGCACCTCCTCCCGCTGCACGCACTTTTCGCACTCTGCCCGCGCGCGCAGGGAAAACACCTAGAGGTACTTCAGAGGAGTTAGCCCAGCAAGAGCTTCAGGAGTGCCGGAGATGAGGGACTCAGGAGCAAGTGTCCGGAGAAAGGTGCCCGGCACGCGTGCGCGCGAGCGAGCGTCCTCCGTGCGTTTGGCGGGATGTTGGGGCAGCTTCCATGCCCTCGAACTTCAACTCCACACCGGCCCGTGACCGACCCCTCCACAAATACCCCACAGCCTCTGGAGACCCCTTCCGCCCCCAAGTGCGCAGGCCCGGCCGCCCCAGCGCGCATGCCCTGGGCTCGTGGAGCGGTGGCCAGCCCCTCAGCCTTTTTGCTTTCTCCACACTCTACAACTAGGGGAGGGGGCGGGTCACGTGATCCAGCCGGGCCTGAGGCGCGCGGGAGGAAGGGGGACGGGAACGCGCACGGGAGGCAGAGTGAGGCGCGAGGGGGAGGGGCTGTCCTCGGGAGCGCGCAGCTAGTGGTGCATGAGTGGAAGGGGCGGTCCTCGGGAGCGCGCCCGGGGGGGTGAGGCGTGAGAGGTTCCCGGGAGCCCGCGAAGGGGAAGGGGCGGCCCTCGGGAGCGCGCTGAGTGAGGCGCTAGGGGAGGTGGGCTAGCCCTCGGGAGCGCGTGGAGAGCCAGGAGGGCGGTCCTCGGGAGCGCGCGCAGAGCGAGGCGCGAAGAGGGCGGTCTTCCAGAGCGCTCGAGCTGGAGCGCGCGTGCAAGAGAGAGAGGGGGAGAGAGAGCGA